CAGATACACCAAATCTACACCCTTACTCTACGTAAGCAGTAACTTTTTCAAAGAATGTTAAAAGATTTTCCCTTAGTGAAACCATGTTGATTATCCAATAAAGTTCTAAACTTTTTTAACAGATTTTCCAAATCTTTTCCCACAACTAATGTAAGGCTATTGGGTCTATAATTAGTGGGACACTTTTTATCACCTCCCCTGAAACGAGGAGTTACATTAGCTAACTTCCAACCCTCTGGTACTTCACCACTATTTAAGGACTGACAAAAAAATAGTAGTAATTGGCTCACATATCCAATCTTTAACCTACTTCAAAACCCTTGTGGAAATATTATCTGTTCCAGGAGCCTTATCATTTTTAAACTTCCCAATGTTTTTCTTAATCAGCTCTGAATTAATGCAGTTATCTTGTTTGATCGTGTTTCCATCTATCAACTGTTTAAGATGAGGAATACTTCTTAAATCTTCATTAATAAAAACAGAAGAAAAGCAAAATTTAATAACCCAGTCATCTCATAATCATCAGATACTAGCCTTCCTTTATCATCCCTCAAGGGTCCTATCCCATCCTAACATTTTGTTTACCCTTAATGTATTTATAGAAATCCTTACTGTTAATTTTCACATTTTCAGCCTTTTGATGTCCTAATTTCCTGTTTGACCAACTTTCTTGATCTTCTAAATCTCCCGTCACACCAGTAAATTTAAATTTCTTTAATTTTATCCCTTATACCCCTTGTGAGCCAACCTGTTTTTTTACTTCAAGCCACAATTTTCTTTCTATAAGGAATACGTTAATCTTGAATATTTACAATTATTCCATATTTGATCAGTGTCTCCAATTGCATCCCTTCAAAATTTGCTTTTTTTTAAATTTGTAACCAAAATATCCTTTTTTTGCTAAAATTATAATAAATAATTGATTAAAAACAACGTTTTATATTTACATAATAAAAACTTGTTAAACCTGGAACTTAAAGTAAACTTGGAGTTTCTTTTTTGTTTTTTATAAGCAGATTTTAATGTGGTGATTTTTAACTGAATTTGCATTTTTGTTAAACTTCTCAAATGCTTTGTCTACTATATTTGGATCAAATCCTCTATCATTTTAAACACAAGTGCTGGTAGTGGATATTCAAAATATCATTATTCCTTATCTCCATATGCAGTAAAACATCAAACCTAATAGAGCAATGATTACTTGCACCCGGATGTTCCCCAGTTTCCACTCTCTTGATCATTTCTATATTTGAAGTTAACAATAGATCTAAAATAGCATGGTTTCTAGTAGGTTACTTGGTGAAGAAAGTCATCCTGAACAGTTTCCAAAAACCTTTTTCCCTAATGGTTTGATTCTAGCATTTCCTAATCTACGTGCCTGAAATTAAAATCACCCATAATTATGACCTCATTAACAGCTGAAATTTTAATCTTATTGTAAAGTTTGTTACTCATATCATGGGTATCATTTGTTGGTCTGTAACAAATTCCCGCTAAAAGTCTTTTCCCATTATATCTGAAATTAAAATCACCCATAATTGTGACCTCATTAACAGCTGAAATTTTGATCTTATTGTAAAGTTTGTTACTCATATCATGTCCCACGAATTTTTATGGACAAAACTCTTATGTAGTAGAGCACAAGTTTAAATATTACAGTCAAGAAATTTCAACTATACTCGTTTTTTCCATGACACTATTGACGGAACCTTTCACATATAACCAGATTTCCTAGCTAGGTCAGTTACAATGTTCAGATGTTTTTATATTAGTCTTATCTTCAGCAATTAGGATTTAACGATTTGCTTTATTTTTATTTTTTCAGATATTGTTTCAAAATGGCAATTCGACCATTGGTAAAACACAGAATTGTTAAAAAAAGGCTTAAAAAATTCACTCGTCACCAGTCTGACAGATACGTCAAGATAAAGGTAAGTCTTTACTGTCCCTTATTCAAGGATTTGCTGTTTTTAGATTACATCGAAATACCCCAGTTGTATATTTCAGTCGTATTCAGTAAAGTTATTAATTTTGTAACTTGAGATCTGTATAATAGTTGTATTAATATCAGATTTATTAATTGTTTTAGCTCTGTGGTGTGGTTTTGATAAACAGTTGTATGTACTAAACAAGCAGGGAATACAATTTGTTCTTGTGACTAAAATAAACAATTATATATATCCTAATAAAATGAATCTAAGTTCATGTTCTAGAAATTAATCTTGGTTCACATTTATAGTATGGTTGAGCTAGATGTTCGGAGTAGTCCTGTATGGGCACTTAGATACAGGTTAATATTATCGAGTTCTCTCCCCATTAATAAATTCAAATCGTTTATTTCATTGGTAAAAAAAAAGGTTTATTTATCTTGTGAAGTTGTGTTAGAATAGTGTAAATAAAACCTTGGCTGATTCTTGTTTTTCAGCCAAGCTGGAGAAAACCAAAGGGTATAGACAACAGAGTTAGAAGACGTTTCAAGGGCCAGTATCTGATGCCAAATATTGGTTATGGAACTGCAAAAAAGATCAAGCATATTCTACCCAATGGATTCAAGAAAGTACTTGTTCACAATTCCAGGGTAACTAAAACTTACTGTACTTGTCAGTAATCTGTAGGTGTTGTGTCTGGTGACTTGAATAATATGAACAACTTGTCAGTAATCTGTAGGTGTTGTGTCTGGTGACTTGAATAACATGAACAACTTGTCAGTAATCTGTAAGTGTTGTGTCTGGTGACTTGACTTGTATGGAATAACATGAACAACTTGTCATTAATCTGTAGGTGTTGTGTCTGGTGACTTGAATAACATGAACAACTTGTCAGTAATCTGTAAGTGTTGTGTCTGGTGACTTGAATAACATAAACAACTTGTCAGTAATCTGTAGCTGTTGTGTCTGGTGACTTGACTTGAATAACATGAACAACTTGTCAGTAATCTGTACGTGTTGTGTCTGGTGACTTGACTTGAATAACATAAACAACTTGTCAGTAATCTGTAGCTGTTGTGTCTGGTGACTTGAATAACATGAACAACTTGTCAGTAATCTGTAAGTGTTGTGTCTGGTGACTTGAATAACATGAACAACTTGTCAGTAATCTGTAGGTGTTGTGTCTGGTGACTTGAATAACATGAACAACTTGTCAGTAATCTGTAAGTGTTGTGTCTGGTGACTTGTATGGAATAATATGAACAACTTGTTTCATTATCTGGCTGTTTGAGGTATACAACGTACTATGTCACTATCTTCCAGCTGTTATTAAAGCTGTAATTGGATGATAGTGTCTGTGTATTGAATGACAATAATAATTACAAGTTTTGTAGTTACTATATTTATCAACTCGCCTGTCACATGAAGTATTAGAACCACACACACATAGAAAGCTGTATCTGACAGTAGAGAATGTATATTTTTCTCATTACTTAACTATTTTGGTTGCGAGGCATTGGATGAAATCAAATTATTACCTCTGTGTTTTACTAATTTCACAATTATAAGTTTTGGTCATGCTAGTGACTGTAGTAGTACTTTGTTTTATAGTTAAACTTTGGTAGAGAACTGTTTGGTTGTGAGCTTGTCGAAACCTTCACACAAAGAAGTTCTGGTATGAACAACATCTTGCCAGGAAGGTTAAATGCAATTAAAATTAGACGCTCAAGTATCTGAACTATATTTGTATCTTACCTTTATCTTAGGATGACATCCTAGCCCACTGAAGTATGTTTTGGTGTTCAAGCAACTTTCCTGGAAATGGATATTTTTTTTCCCTCGTTGTGTGTCTAGGATAAGCTTTTCCTCAGTGTTACTATAGTCCTTTCCAGTTGTTAGGTCCTTGACACTATGCCCAAATCTGTTTTTGGGTATTTTACTCTGTTCTTGGAAGCATATATCTTTCAGATAAAAATTCTGTTGAACCTGGTTTATCTTGGTGTGTTGTACTTTTAAAAATGTTTTTAATTACATCAAGTACAATAATCAAATTGTATAATAACATGCTGTTTGAATTTTGGTTGTTAATATAATTTACCTTGAGCTTGTATCCAAGAAAGTAAAAACTTTATATATATACATTAACAAATCATCTTATGACACATTACTATTAAAAGTTTTGAATGCAGATGTTCCAAACTGTATCACCTCGTAGTGTGCTATGAAAAGAAAGTTTGTGTCATTTAAACAAATCATATCTACCAAAAGTAAATACAGTTATGTTTCTCCACCAAGTAATAAGGTAAACTTCACCACATGTGTTGTTAAAGGTAGTGAGAATGAGCTTATTTTCAGAGGTCAACATTGCTATGGTAAATGTCATTTTACGGTTGGTTAGACTAGCCTATTTGGAGAGGTCAACACTGCTATCATAATTGACAGCTTACGGTCAGGAAATCTCAAACTTTATGCTAATTACTTGTGGTTAAAGGTTCATTTCAGTAAAAACCTGTGAACTGTATATTGGTGGACTGTAAAATTGAACAGTTCAGTCAAGTTTCTTTTATTGTAGTTTACATTAAATTCTTAACCATTGTTATATTCCTCGTATACCTGGATGCATTTTGACATTAAAAGTTAATTTTTTAAACATGTAATTGATTAGCTGTTTTTACCGCTCTTCATCTTTGGAAGCTAGTCTCGTAAAGAATGTTGAAGAATAATTTAAGTTGCTAATTTATTTGTAGACTTGAAAGGGTAATGTTCTAAGTACGGATAAGTTTGAATATTTGTTGCATGTTTAGTCTCAAATCTACAATATAATGTGTTTATGTATTGTGTAAGGTGTATTTTAAAATGTTTTATATATCTTGTTATTATCTTACTTTTATTTGAATAAAGAAACCGATTTAGGCCTCTACATCATCCACAACTTCCATTTCTGTTTTTCACTGAAGTTACATATTTTAATAAAGATAAGAAAACTCAAAGTTAATATATTCTTATTATAAATATTTTGTATTGTTAGATTAGTATACGATATTAGGAACTATCCTAAGTTACCCAAACCTCGTTAGATAATGGGATTACAGCTAAAAATATTGCTAACAGAGCACAATTGGTTTGTTCTAACCTTTATAAGTAAGAATCGTATTTTTACTAGGTTATACTTAGTACAATGGTTGATATTTTGTTGTGATTAATGTTAGATTGTAAGGAAAACTGTGTCCCATTTGTATGTTCAGTTTCATGTGATTTTGAAAAACAGCTGACTATTCTCCTTTTGATTTAGTTAAATACAATATATTTCACTAATACATGAAGTGGCTGAATGAGTAGGACAACTGTGTTTGGAATATATGGATATTGTGATGCTCTGTGAATGCCAGTTTACTGACTCAGAATATGATGTGATTTTATGTTAAAAATGCTAGGTTTGTTTATTTGTGTTGCTGTACCAGACATGCCTGATATCAATTAAAGATCTATTCTTTAACAACAGGATCTTGAAATGTTGATGATGCAGAACAGGCGTTACTGTGCTGAAATTGCCCACGGAGTTTCTTCCAGAAAGAGGAAAGAAATCATCGAGAGAGCTCAACAGTTAGCCATCAGAGTGACGAACGCTAATGCTCGGATCCGGTCGGAAGAAAATGAGTAGCCTATTATGTATGCTGATACTGAAACAATAAAAGTTTTTAAGTAATGGCCAACTGGTCAAATTGTTTGTTTTTTTCAGTAGGGTAAAGGACTGAAACATTTCTTTTAGTACACAATATGGATTACCAGAACCTGTTCCGTCTTCTAGTACATAATGTGTTCTGGTAATCCATATTATGTACTAGAAGACGGAACAGGTTCTGGTAACCTGTTCCGTCTTCTAGTACATAATATGGATTACCAGAACCTGTTCCGTCTTCTAGTACACAATATGGATCACCAGAACCTGTTCCGTCTTCTAGTACACAATATGGATCACCAGAACCTGTTCCGTCTTCTAGTACATAATATGGATCACCAGAACCTGTTCCGTCTTCTAGTACATATGCATCACCAGAACCTGTTCCGTCTTCTAGTACATATGCATCACCAGAACA